CAGCAGGTGCTACTCATCTGTACTGTATCTGCAATGTGGTGCCTCAAGCTATTCCCAGCCCTATCTGCAAGGGTTTGACTCTCCTAACCATCCCTAAAGTTCTGCTGAACAACATAATCTCAAATACATAAAATCAGCTACTGCCGCATGATGCTATGACCTCAGGAAAATCTTACAGATGAGCTTGGGAAGCCCGAATTACCTTCATGAACATGCTGAATCCAGTTTTAAGGAGATCAGTGAGGCCTGATGACATATGCTCAATATCGACAGGATCAGGTCGATCAGGATTACAGATCTCTTCCACTATCTGCTTCAGCAGCGGTTTGTAAGAAGCCTGCACAAAAAGAACAATGCAGAGTGAGTAAAGCTGTTTACACTTGGTGCAACTGCTCTTCTAAACATTTCATTTCCATTAAAGGTTACAAAACTAACTATCCTAGAAAGGAAAACTTTTTGGAGATAGTACAGGAAGGAACAGCAATAGGGATGGCACTCTCTTGCCCATCGTGCATCCAGAAGATCTCATTCCCTTTGTAATGATTTTACAAACACTTCAATGGGGATTTTTAGGAGGGTTTGCTTACTGACCATGGCTGCCTTTCCGCAGGTGCCATGGCAGCACTGAAACCTGGATATCAGCAGGGCTGGGAAGAGGACAACCTGCCTGTTTGTCCCTCACGGGAGAGCAGAGCTAAGGAGTCCCTGTTAGTCCTTCAACTTCTACGGCCAGCACACCCTACCTCATACTTCCACCTGTGGAAAACCCTGAGAAAAATAGGACAAGCAACCCCACCGATATCATGCATGATGGAGCTTCAGAGAAGTTAAGGACCAGGAAACATGGCACATGTAAAGGTACAAATGGTCAGCATCCTGGGAGATCCACTTACTAAAAATCCACTCTGCATCCTCTTTAGGGTGCCCAAACCTGTTCTGAATACGATTTAGTAGCCTAGAAATTTCCACATTCCCTTATCAATGTTTAAATCACTCTGCCATCCTGAAAATGTTTCTAAGATAAAAATTTTAGGGACTTGTGGAAAAATGCTGTTTAATGATAATTTGACCTTACGTGGTTTACAGATGGAGTTTTGTTTTGCCACTTCCACCTTTGCCCAAACTGCAACAGAACCACAATCATTTCAGGAAGCACAAAAGTCTTAGAAAATTAGCAGCTTTCAAATTATCACATTTATTTTCCTTTGGGACTAGCTCAGGAATACATCATCCCCTAGGTTTCTTAAGGGAGTCAAGTGGAACACCATTCATTTTGTAAAGATGATATCTACAAGAGACATCATGCAAGATAAACATAAAAATGTATGGAAAAATAAAAAGCAAGCTGCTTGGCTTGAAACTAAAATTTTCTGGAGCAATTAAAGAAATGATTTCCATCCAACACTTTACAGTGAGAAAAAAAACTTACAGTTTTTAATACAATCCTGTCAACAAAGATTTATACAGCTCATCTAGTTCTTCTCACAACACGTGCATTAATTGAGCCAACAAAGCAAATTTCAGCAGACATGAGCTGCAGAATCTTTTAGGAAAACATGCCAAGATTTGTGTCAAATTCAGTCACGCAATAAACTACTGTTTGAAAATATACATGCAGGCATGAAGTCCTATGTATAAAAATCTGTTTAATATCTTCACAGATGAGGAACAGAAAGACATTGGGAATGAAATATTTTTGGAGTAGAGATCAAATCACAGTTAAACAGAGAGCCTCAGTGCACAAAATTAAAGGAAAAATACTATCTCACTTCAGACAAAACTAAGTACTCAAAAGATGTCAAAAAATGAACTATGATTTTGCATGTCTGATTTTTCAGCACTAAAACTCAGTGCCCTTCAAAACTATCCAGTTCGGCTACACAGATACTAAAAGGCAGATAGTATGATCACTTACCTTTTTTATAGCTGTGAAATTTTCAAATATTTTCAAAATCCTTTATGACTTGAAATGAATCTATTAGATTTTTAGGGAGTTTTTACTTTTTATCCATCTCCCAATAGCTGCATTGGTTTCTAACTTGTATAAAGAAACATTCATAAACTTTAAATTTTGGCAGGGCACAAACTGTGTTTAAAACAGTTTTTAAAAGCTCAATGGCTATGGGACATACCTCAGACATGGTAACAAGGGGGAAAGGAGAGAGAAAATGAGAGAGGGGGAGGGAGAGAGAGAAAAAAGAGGAGAGGAGAGGGAGAGGAGAGAGAAAAAAGAGGAGAGGGGGGGGGGGGGGGGGGGAGGGGGGGGAGAGGGGAGGGGA